CTCCCGATTGGTACCGGCAGGCTCTGCTGGCCCCCAGACGGGGTCACGATGGCAGGTGGTGACCAGCCAGGCCAGGCCTGCTGCAGAGGCCCTGTTTGGTCCTAGGGGCTTTAGGAGAGGGGACACGCAAGGAGGATTTAACACCTCCTGCCTCACTTTTGGTCCTAGCTTGCATCGCTCTGAGCAGCCCCACCAGAGAGCAAGTTGGGACCAGAACCGGATGGACCCGGGGACCTGCTGGGACCGTGTCCCAAGCACCAGATGCCTAATTAAACCTCACACTGAATGAGGGGCCTTCTGCGGGGGGCCCCAGTGGCTTAGGGAATAAGCAGGAGAGCCAGGAGACACAGGGTCTACGCCCAGCCAATCTGCCACGTGACCCTAGCTACGCCCCGTCCCCGCCTGCTGCCTCAGTTTCCCCACCTGTCCCGGGGGATGAAGGGCTTTGCGCTCTGTAGTGGAGGTGCACTAACCCTAGGCTGGGTGTCTGCTGGCAAACACTTCGAGGGAGGATTCATGGTGGTGGTCCCGTTGGCATGGAACCAGGGGCTGCTGTTTAGACATGGGGCCCTGGCCCTATCGGGCCTCTCCCTGGGGCTTTGTTCAAGGAAAAAATAAAAGGCAGCTCCCTCGCCCCAGGAGCAACCACTGCCGGAGACCTGCTCCTGACAACCCCTTCTCCCTGCCTGCCTCTCATAGAGCCGGAAACAGGCCCAGCAGCACTCCCCTCTCCCTCCTCACTCTCTGCCCTGGCCCGGAACCCTTCTGCCCCCTGCATCCTGGCCAGCCTCCTGCACCCCCTCCGCACAGGCCCCCTCCCTCGCTGGGTGCCCCCATCTCCTTCAGCGCCCTCCCCACACCTGCCCTGAGGCCCGTCCGAGCTGGTCTGTACAGCCCCACGGGTCTCTGAGGGCTATGTGTTAACGGGGTAGGGGCCTGCTGTACTGAAAGGCAGACAGCTCGCCTGTGCCAGGCTCTCGCAAGACGCCCCGGGAGGGCTCCGGGCAGGATAATTAGTAAGCAGGCTGAGGCGACGTTGGGGTGTCACCTCTGAGAGCGATGCTCTGGGGGTTTGTGGGGCAGGAGCTGAGCCATGAAAGGCTGTGACTTCAGAAATTCATAGCGTCTAGGGCCGGCTGGGACCCCCGTGAGCCGGTCGCCTGCGCCCCCCGTACCGCCCAGGCCCGAGAAGCAACCCCAGGGATTCTAGCACCAGGTCCGCACATTCTGATGGAGCCGGAGTGTGACTTTTAGAGCGAGCCTGTCTTGATTCAAAGAGTCAGGGAATGGAGACCCCCCCCCAGCACTAGGCAAGTGGCTCAGATGGTTCATTTTCCACCTGGGGGAAATCAGTGCGGGTAGTTCATGAAAGCACGTGCTTAGGGTTCAACCTGCCATCGGGCTCTCCGGGGGCCTTGAACTGCAGGCTACTCACTAGGGATGGCTCCAGCCCCGCCCCTTCCGTCCAAGGCCCCACCCTTTCCAAGGGCACAGAGCCGGGCTTTCACCCTGCCTCACCCAGCCCCACTGGCTGGAGGCACTATTCTGCCCCCATTTTACAGATGGAAGGAAGGGTGAAGGAGATGGTAAGTGACATGGTTATACAACAAGATAGTTGCAGAGCTAAACCCAGGAACCCTGACCATCTCTGTATTGCAGAATGCTCCATCGTGCCTAGTGGCATACATGGCCTCAGCCCGAACAATTGCGAGGTATTTAGTCTTGCATCCTCATATTCAGTTCATTCTTTTGGTGGGGCTACAGTGTTTATGGCTGGGAGTGGCACTAGACATGATACATTTTAGTAAGGCTCTTGACACAGTCCCTCCTGACAGCCTCATCGGCAAACTAGGGACGTGTGGTTTGGAAGGAATTATTTTGTGGGGCCACATGTGGCTGAAAAAATAGCTCCAAAGAGTATTTATCAATGGCTGGCTGTCTAACTGGGGGGAAGGGCATATCTGTCCAGGGCTAGTCGGTATTTCCATCAATGACTTGGATCCTGGTTATAAAATCTGTGGCTGACCCCTCGCTGGGAGGGGTTGCAAGCACTTTGGGGGAGGAGCATTCAAACGGTCCTCAACAAATTGGTGTGACATCATTACCATGAGGATGTATGTAAGACATGGGAGGTCACTGTCCTGAGCTCACCCAATTCCGGGTGCTGTGTTTTAGGAAAGATGGGGACAAACGGCAGAGTCTACAGAAAGGACAAAATTAAACAACTGGGCGTGTTTAGTCTGGAGACGAGAACACTAAAGGGGGAGCCTTCAGACATGTTAAGAGCTGTTATAAAGCAGACAGGAATCAATTGTCCTCCATGTCCGCTAAAGGTCACATAAGAAGTAATGGGCTTAATCTGCAGCAAGGGAGATATCAGGAAAAACTTTCTAATGAGAAGAGGAGTTAAACTCCACTAGGCTTCCAAGAGGATGGCAGAATCCCCATAAGAACAGGTTGGCCAACCCCCATCAAGGCACGTGGCGTTTATTTGGTCCTGTCTCAGCGCCAGAGACCAGCTTACATGACTTCTCGAGGTCTGCTGCCTCCCCACATTTCTCTTGGTCGGTTCTAGCATTATAAACGCACCCAGGGAGATAGGGAAATGTTACCATTTTACAAGTGGGGAACTGTGGGCACACAGACAGAGGGACTCTTTGCGTCGATTCTTGGCTTTGCCACTACCTTGCTGTGTGAGCTGGACAAGTCACGGCATTGTCCCTTGCCTCAGTTTCCCCATTGGTTCAAAGAGCTGATGACACTGCCCTACCTTCCAGGAATGGCAAGACGCTTGGCTCCCTAATGTCTGTAAAGTCCTTGCATGGAAGGCGCTCGGTAAAAGGGTTATGATTAATTAGTAACAACACACACTGAATTGCAGGAAAGAGCTGTGTCAGGACTAGCAAAGCCACCTCATGTCTCCCTGGGCAGGGCTGAGGGGGCTTACCTGGACCCTGGCTTCAGTGAGGTCGATCTTCAGCGCCAGCTCCTCCCGGGTGTAGATGTCTGGGTAATGGGTTTCCGCAAAGACCCTCTCCAGCTCCTTCAGCTGGGAGCTGGTGAATGTGGTCCTGATTCTCCTCTGCTTCCTCTTCTCGTTGATTCCCGAGGGGTCCGAGAAGAACTTGTAGGGAACTGGAGGGGAGAGAGGGGGAAGGAGATGAGGGGAGAGGAAAATACCAGCGGTTCCGACAGGCGGAGAGTGCAGTCAAAGATGAACTATATACATATGGGAAATGACGAGCAGTTCTCACTGGCACCGAGAAAGGACCTGTCTCCAACTCCCATTGACTGGGGTTCCTAACTCACTTTGGATCTTACGACACACCCAGTCCTAATTATTGTTAAAATGGCAACATCCTATTAGTTAATAATTTTTACCTTGTTGACTATTGTTTAATTATATGCATTCGACTATTTATTGTATATCTATTATCTATGCTTTCTATGTTAATAATATTGCAGTGTTTTATATTTAAGTATTAATATTTCACTAGCTAACCATTATTACATTGTTGACAATTGTTTAATTATATGCATGTGATTATTTATCATATATCTATTATCTATGCTCTTCTATGTTAATAACATTGCAGTTAGTGTTTTATATTTAAGTACTGATATTTCACTAGTTAACTATTATTACATTGTTGACAATTGTTTAATTGCATGCATTTGATTACTTATCATATATCTATTATCTATGCTTTCTATGTTAATAATATTACAGTCAGTGTTTTTCATATTTAAGTATTAATATTTCACTAGCTAACCATTATTACATTGTTGATAATTGTTTAATTGCATGCATCTGACTACTAAACATATATACACTCTGTGCTTATTATGTTAATGAGATTGCAGTTAATGTTTTATATTAACTGATATTTATTATTTATTTTACTGATATTGCACTAGTCAATCATTATTACATTGTCGACTATTATTTAATTGTATGCATTTGACTACTAATCATATATTATGCTTTCTATGTTAATAACATTGTGGTTAGTGTTTTATATTTAAGTACTGATATTTCACTAGTTAACCATTATTACATTGTTGACTATTGTTTAATTATATGCATTTGACTACTTATTGTATATCTATGCTTTCTATGTTAATCATATTGCGTTAGTGTTTTATATTTAAGTACTTATATTTCACTAGCTAACCATTATTACACTGTTGACTATTGTTTAATTACATGCCTTGGACTCCTAATTATATATGTATTATCTATGCTTTTTATATTAATATTGCAGTTAGTGTTTTATATTTAAGTACTGAAACAGTCCAAGCTAACCATTATTACACTGATGACGGTTGTTCGATTACTGTGCAGGGAAGTGCTATTTCGATTGGATCGGTGATTGCATTGCTAATTATTGGTTTACAAATAAATACGAAATATGTTATCGTTGCCTCGCTATTGTTCTCTTGTGATTGATCAGTTCTGAATGTGCCCATGGCTCTAGGAACGGGACACCCCGTGATCTGTGCGTGGCTCTGTCCTGCAGGATGGAATCCTTATTCGGTTAAACCAGCGAAGAGTTTCGTGGCGCTTTGCAGACCAGACCTGTATTTGGGCAGGAGCTTTGGCGGCTGGACCCTTCTAGCTTAGGAAAGCAGGCGCCCAGATCGGTGTGTTTGGTCCCTAAGGTGCCGCAGGGCTCCTTCTGCCGCTCTGGGCTGTGGGTAGCGATGCCGGTGTCCTGCTCTGGGCCTGTCCAGCGCTGCCCCAGGGGACGCCGCAGAACAGTCCCGGGGCTTCCTCCGCGCGAAGGGAGGTTTGGGATCAGGGCGGCAGCGCTTAGAAGGAGGCAGGGGGCTGCCGCCCGGGGCCAGGAGCGACAGTCTCGCCTGGGCCGCGGTGCGGGCGAAAAGTGTCCTGCCGGCCCTGCGAGCTCCCAGCGGCTCGCCAGCACTAGGGAGGGCAGGAGAACAGAGACTGGACAGGGCAACGGGCAGGGAGCCACGTTCCATCACCAGCCATTTAGTCCCGAGAGAGAACAAATTGGGCCATGAAAGTTCGTTCCTAAGCAAATCAGAGAGAGAGAGACAGAGACACCGTTCTAGAGAAATAGACAGACACAAAATTCTAGATAGATAGCTTGGGTGTATGGGGATAGATAGATAGACCGACAGACAAAATTCTAGATAGATAGATTGGGTGTATGGGGATAGATAGATAGACCGACAGACAAAATTCTAGATAGATAGATTGGGTGTATGGGGATAGATAGATAGACCGACAGACAAAATTCTAGATAGATAGATTGGGTGTATGGGGATAGATAGATAGACCGACAGACAAAATTCTAGATAGATAGATTGGGTGTATGGGGATAGATAGATAGACAGACAGACCGACAGACAAAATTCTAGATAGATAGATAAGGTGTATGTAGATAGATAGATAGATAGATAGATAGGATGTATGGGGATGGATAGATAGACAGAAAGACAGACACAATTCTGGACAGATAGACAAACTTCTAGACAGATAGACAACATTCTAGCGAGATAGATAGATAGATAGATAAGGTGTATGGGGACAGATAGATAGATAGATAGATAGATAGATAGATAGGGTGTGTGGGGATAGATGGATAGGATGTGTGGAGATGGATAGATAGACAGAAAGACAGACAGACAAAATTCTGGACAGATAGACAAACTTCTAGACAGATAGACAACATTCTAGCGAGATAGATAGATAGATAGATAAGGTGTATGGGGATAGATAGATAGATAGATAGATAGATAGACTGACTATATGGAGATCTCTGTTTATACTATATATTTGTTTCTACTGATAATATATATATGTAGCTATAGCTAAATGCGTATCTCTGCATAGTTGGATAGTTACATGAGTAGATATGTATCATCGACATGTCCCTCTAGATCTATAGGGTCTACACTGCCATATGCATATGCGTCTCCGTGGCAGTTCTACACTCAGGTGCATGGCTATTCACAGGGGTTTATGGCTCGGCCGAGGTCCAGCGGGAAACCCCAGCGGAATGGAGCGACGCTGGAAGTTCCCCGCGTCCGAAGTCGGTGACCTGGGGGGCTATATCTGAGCGGTGCGTCTCGTCTTCAAGCCCTGCGCCGGTTTAGCGAGCACGTGTCCCGGGCTCGCCCCTGCAGGCGAGGCAGGGCTGTTTCTCGAGGGGTGGCTGGGGACGGGTTTGGACTGTGGACGGACGGAGCGTGCGGACCTCGGAAGGCGAGAGAGACCGTCTGCCGCTGTCCGGAGCTTTCAGTGTTCGTGCCCATTCCTGACCCCAGCCGCTCCGCTCCAAGCGGCCAGGAAACGGACTAGAAGAAGTTGGCTGGAGCGGTGCGGGGCGAATCCTCCCCGAGCCCAACGCAGACCGGCAAAAGCCCCCGCAAGTCTCAAAATTAATAATTCCATAAAAACATTTCTAGCCGCCCTTTCTGCAAATATCAAATTAGATTTCTTGATCTAATCCTCCCTGTGCTGTAACCTGATTACCCATTAATTTGTTTTGGCTGTGAACACAAGGAGACGGGTCCTTAACTTGATTAGACGCCAAATCTTATATCTTTATAACTGCATTTTGCCAAAATTGGTTTATACCTTTATAAAAAAAAAACAAAGCGGGGAGGGAACGGGGAAAGGCCGACCCGATATAAAGAGATCGCGGGTCCCCAAACCCTTTTATCTGCTCAAATTTGCCTCGCATCTCCAGATCCCTCTGGAAACCCTTCTCCGGACCCCTCCAGAACTTCTCTGGCCAACTTCGAGCAGGCCCTGGCTCGAGGGTGAGGGGCTCGGGTTTACCTGTGGAATAGGGCGAAGGCTGGTGGTCCCGTAGGGCCCCCAAGGTGCAGTTGGCGGTGCTGAGTGGGGGGCAGCCGGGGCTGGTCCCAAAGCTGCTCCGGATGGGGTTGTACTGGAAGGTGTTGGCCTGGCTGCAGGAGCTGAAGTCGGCGTAGGCAGACGCCTCCATGGCGGCCATGCAGGAGTCGTAGGAGTTGAGGTAGGAGTAATCCATTTGGTACATAGAGGAGGGCCCGGGGGGCTGGCGGATCCCGGAGCAGAGTGGGGGGCAGAGGGGTCCGAGCTCGGGCGCCCCGCTCAGCGCCCCGCTGCCTGGCTGCACCTTTGGCTCCTTCTGGCTCCTCGAAGTCTCCCTCGCCCTCTGTCCTGGCTGCCTTCGGAGGGGGCCTCTCCATGCACCCCGCTCTGCCCCCTCCGCCCG